GTAGGAGCTAACGCGTCTACAATATCAAGGTCCGCAGCAGTCAACGGGTTCTCGCCAATCATGACCTCGAAGGGAGAGAGCTCAGTGGAAGAATGGCTTATTGTGTTGTAGGCAGGTTCCAAGGCCGGAAGCAAACGCTCCCACTCGCGTTCGTCAGATTTGATGTAGGTCCGAAGCATCTGCTCCAGTATGCGGTTAACCCATTCATTTCGGCCACCGCTTTTCGGGATGGTAGGACGAGGACATGCACCGTTTGATGTTAAAGCGGCGGCAGAGTTGGTTCCAAAGATCCGACTGGAAACGAGGGTCGCGGTCCGATATGAGCGCCTCTGGAAAACCGTGATAGCGGATAAGACGGTCTGCGAGAAGCTTCACGGTGTCTGCTGCTGTGAATGACTTCTTTGCAGGAACGAAATGAGCCATCTTGCTGAGGGAGTCGACCATGACAAGAATCGAGTCGTGCCTTGTTGTTGTAAGGGGAAAATCTGTGATAAAGTCGAGACTCACGTGCGCCCATCGACGGGAAGAGATGAGCAACTGTTGAAGAAGGCCTGCAAGCTTCGGGTTAAGATAGTTTGACGCTGGACAGTGAGTGCATGACTCAACATAAGCCGTTGTGTTAGCGCGCATTCCTGGTCAGCAGTAGTGCTTGCTGAGAGCCGCAAAGGTCTTCTTCTGGCCTCGATGGCCGGTTGTGACATGGTCGTGATGCGGATGCAGAACGTGAGTAAGAAACTCAGGGAATTGTGGGGAGCAGATGCGCCACAGTCCATGAACGCGGATGTGCAGGTAAGGCTCTACGTAGCGAAAGGTGAATTGGCGATTACAAAGCTCGATTTGCAGAGCTTCCCCTGGTTGGTTTGCTGCGGCTTTGTAGGGAACGCGAAAAACAGGACACTTCGAGTAAGCTTGCAGCCAATGGCGCACATCAGGAGGGGCAGCTGGTGTCTTCGGTGTGAGTGTAGGATGTTCCGCCTCTGGGTAGGGTTCCGGCGGCGCAGGTGAATGTGCGGAAGGCAGGCTGCGTCGTCTAGGTCGTCGCGAACGAGTTCCGGCGAGCTCCCTGTAGTTGGGAGGCCGACCACGAGAGCGGGGAGCCGCGCTCGCTTGTCCTATTGCGAGCATCAGTGGTACCGATGGCGTGTCGTGCGAGCAGGTGTTAGAAAGACCGGGACGGCGAGACAAGGCATCGGCAATTTGATTGCGCGCTCCTTGGACATACGTGATGTGCAAATCCAGGAACTTCGCAAGAAAGTCTAGCCACCGGGCGGTGCGTCCGCGCAGAGGCTTCGATACTTGGAGTCGTCGGAGATGGGTGAGAGCTTGATGATCAGTGTAAGCCGTTACCTTGGAGACACGGAGCAAGTGCGACCACTTGTCCACTCCCATGACCAACGCCAAGAGTTCCTGATCGTAGATCGAGTATCTCTGTTGCGTGGGATTCATGACTTGACTGAGGAAGCCGATGGGTTTACCGTCTTGTTCGAGAACTGCTCCGATTGCATAACCAGAGGCGTCTGTGTATAACTCGAAGGGCTTCGTCGTGTCAGGGACCTGTAAGGTAGTGAAGTCTATTAAGCGCTGTTTGAGCTGCCGCACCGCTTGCGTGTGAAGCTCTGTCCATTTGAAACTGACGTCTTTACGCGTTAGATCAACCAGCGGCCGGGCAACGTCTGCATAGTCCGGTCCCATGAACATGCGACAGTAATTTATGGTATCGAGGAACTGGCGCACTTGCGTTCCGTTCTCCAGCACCTCTGGCCAATGCCGGATGGCTTCGATTTTGTCTTCTGCGGGTTTAATCCCCGTAGCAGAAACAGTATAACCCAAATAAGTAATTGTTTGCCGTGCAAATTTGCATTTGCGGAATTTTGGGTAGAACTGGTGTCGAAGAAAAATGCTTAGGATTTGTCGCAGAAGAGAGACGTGCCCAGAGAGATCAGAACTATAGATACGTACATCATCTAGGTACGCAATAACGCCCTGCCCCAATAAAGGTTGTACAGAGGCATTAATATTGGCCTGGAACGTAGCGGGAGCACCCTTAAGGCCGAAGGGCATCACGCGGTACTCGAATAGTCCGAGAACGGACCGGAAAGCCGTCTTCCACCGGTCTTCCTTAGCCATAGCTATTTGATGGAATCCTGCTTCCAGGTCCAAGGTGGAGAAATACTTGGCGCCTCCCAGCAGCTCCTGAATGGTTTGAATGGGAGGTAGTGGAAAATCAGGGGCTATCGTAAGGGCATTTAGAGCCTGCTAATTGACAACCATACGCATCTTCCGCTCCCCGGAGCCATCATCACGTTTGTCCACCATGATCGTAGGAGAGCAAATAGGCGGATAGGTCGGTCCGATCCAACCATTATCCGATAATTTGGCTATCTCCTGTTTGTGGAAAGTGAGCTGGTCTGGGGTCATACGGTATATTGCAGATCTCGCTGGGAGTTTTCCAGGCGCCAGGGGAATATGATGATCATGAGGGCGCTTCGGAGGTAAGCCTTTAGGTAAGGTATCGGGAAAAACCGCTCGATACTCGTGCAACACCTGGGCAACCTCACATGGAATATCCTGCGCCTCAGTCGGATTTATCCATTCGTCGAATAGAGTGTGCTCGAGTTTTGCAGTAGGCCAGGGAGACTCCTCGTCACTTTCCGCTGCCACCGAGGCGGTTGAGGCCAAAGGACTACGGCAGCCGGAGGACGTGGGTTGACTCCCTATCAACGCGCAACAAAGCGCGCCTTGCCATTCATCCGAGAGCCTTAAGGGCACTGCCGAACCGGCTTCCGGCAGAGCCAGTATGAGATGCAAACCGTGCAATGGGGTACTGAGATCATTTGTGTCGTCCGCCGCCTGACGAACGAGCGACGTTATCGGCGCCTTCGCCTTAGTCTTCGCGTGGGACTTATACCTCCTTGGAGGCGGGCGTAGAAATGCAGCTGCCTCCTCGGCTGACATACCCGCCACTTGTTTGGCCAAGATCTCGTATGCCTGCTCTGCTGGCGTCCGTGGGTGGACTACGGTGGGACTATCACTTTGCAGTGTCGATTCACCAGTCCTAACAACTGGTAACTCGCACCACTGGCCATTCACATAGGTTCGGAGTTTGTCAGACTGGAAGTACCAGGCCACCTTGTGTTCCGTCAGCCAATCCAAACCCAAGACTAAGTTGTAGGGAACGGGTCCCACTAAAAAGTCCCCGGAAAAACGTGTATGTCCGCACCACCATGTCACTCCCGTCACTACCCGGTCAATGCGTAATTGTGCACCTGTAGCAATGGTGAACTTATGCTCTTTTGGTAGTCTCCGCACTTTCAGCTGCAGTCGTTCGACTGTTTTAGGACTAGTGAAACTTCTCGAAGCCCCAGTGTCCAAGAGGGCCTCACAAGGACTCCCTGCGAGCTCAACGCCAAGTACCGCCGTCGCACCCACACAACACAGCGCTCCCCCTTGGTTGTAGGACTCTTTCGTGCAAGTCTCCCTCCACCAGTGTGGCACAATCTCTGTCGCGTCTGACCTATAGCCGTCTTCTGTTGTCTCTGCAGACTTCCTGCTGCTATTCATCGTCGCGTCCGGAGTCTCTTCACTCAGGATCGACGTTGACCCAGACTCCCGCCGCGTTTCCGAAAACGGCAGAGTCCCTTCCGCGAGCTCATCGCTCTTACAAGCTCCTCCCGCAGTGCGGAGGAGTTGGTTTCCCAACTCAAGGGAGACTGGAATCGCATTAGGGCCTGTCGCTACCGCACACATCATCCCTTTGCCATGGCTACGCGGCCTAGAACGTTCGTCTCCACCCACGCCTAGGCCCGCACGTTTGATCGTTCTGTCGTCTCAGTGCTAGGGCGGGTGGGCGCTCTACTGCTCTTTTCGGCCGGCTCCGGCCGGCCTCGTTCATATGTAGGACAGTCTCGAGCATAGTGACCGGCTCCGGCCGGCCTCGTTCATATGTAGGACAGTCCCGAGCATAGTGTCCCGCACCGCCACACTTCTCGCATATTTCTCCCGGACGTTTGGTACGTTCCCCTTTGCTGGGGCAGACACGTGCCGGATGTCCGCGACCCTAACACTCAAAGCAGTTCGCGTGGGTTCCCCCAGGGCGATTTTCAATTTCCTGGCGCCCACGAGGTCCATTAGCTTGGACTGCAGCCCTAGTGGCTCGACTGGTCCTTTCGCAGAGTTCCAGCACACTCTGTTTGGGCTCGTAGAGCCGTGTTGCGGCGGTCGCCGCTTGTTCCCACGACTGATATTTCACGTGTCCGTTATTGGTTATTAGAAGATGGAGGTTTGTCGGTAGCCCGGTGCAGTAATAGTCCGCGAGTTCGTCGGGGGCAAACCCCAACCCACGCTCCGCTACAGCCGCAAACCGATCCGTGTATTCCTTCGGGCTGCCATTCCACCGTACTTTAGCCAACTCCGTTAACAATTGACTCTGCGACATTGTCTTGTCAAACCGCTCCAAAAGCCTGCGCTGTACTGTTGCCCAGTTGCTTAGGTTCATAGTTATCCGTAGATACATCCCATACGTTAGAGCCGGGCCCACAAGGTCGTCTATAAGTGCATTTCCCCACTCGCTCGGTTCCAATCCCATCTGGGTGCACCGGCGCTCGATGCGCAGCAGAAAGGCCTGCATAGTGCTGCCGTCTTCTGGTAGTATGGGAATCGTTGCGCCGGATTCCACGGTCCCCCCTATAACAGTTCTTATCACACTCATAGTGGACTGGAATTGGTCCCACGTGACGAAGGGACTGTCCCCTGGCATAACATTGGTCATAGGTATCACCTGTGGGGGCGCCTCCTTATGCCCATGCGGCCGCTCTGCCACGGTGGGCTTCAGGGTCGCGTGGCGATGATGGGCTGGCGTCCCGCTCGGCATTTTGTTGACTGGCATTGTAGAAGTCTCCTGCGGTGTGGGGCCGATAACGCGTCCGTTGCGGAGATGCATGCCTTACCGAGCGAGCATGAGTTATTAAAACATAGTATTTCTACTCCCAAGTCCGGAAAGAACAAAGATCTCACTCCCGGAACGACCCCCAAATGCCGTGCACAGTGCCTACTGCTGCGACTATGCTGCTGCCTGCCCCTCGAGCAGCGCCTATGATCGGCACCTAAAGTTGGTCCATTTCCTTGAAACAGTAGCTTATTTTTATCGAAATACAGTAATTCTTAAGTTTCCAAAATCCGTTGTTGTTCGAGTCGCCCCATTTGGGGTGCTCGCCTCCTAGGCCCTGTGGGGAGGAGGTGTAGTGAACAGCCGTCCCGCACTGTTACTACGTATAGTCCCAAGGCAAGCCCGACTTAGGTGAGCGCTCGGCTCTGTCGGTCGAAGGTACCTGATTAATAACCAACAACTATCTGAAACCTTAATCAACCTTCTACGATGGAGTTCATATCATTTTGAGGTGAGGAAAAACCCAGAATAATAGAACTGAGAGCTGACCCTCACTGAGGGTCAGCGTCCGAGTCGCGTCACAGCGCCAACCTCGCGCGCTGCCCCGCTGAGGTCAGTGCCCCAGTCGCGTCACAGCACCAACCTCACGCGCAGCCCCGCACCCGGTGCTGGCTAGCGAGCCCATTGTTCCCTCTAGTGATTCCCACTATCCAACAGTGCCTTATGCGCTAAGATATTCAATATTATTCATGCTTCTCACATTAGCAAGTATCGGGGTGGCGACGAAGGTCAATTGTAGTGCCATGCACTACAACTTCCCCCTTGCTAACAAGCCGAAACCGCTTGGCTGTTTTTATTTATTTATATGTTTTTTTTTTTTTTTTTTTTTTTTTTTTTTTTTTTTTTTTTTTTTTTTTTTTTTTTTTTTTTTTTTTTTTTGTTCGTGCCTTTTTCTTCTGCTCTACTCTCCGATCATCCCGCAACACGACCTCCTCGGGATGTCCCGCCGACGTCCAGCCTGAAGCTGGTGTCGACTATTCCGAGAACGAGAGCAGCTGGTAGAGTCTCGGGTTGTAGGGTGCTCCTGCGCCCGCTCCCCCCCTTCCCGGACGAGAACGGGCGGCGAACGTGTAAATAGGGAGGACGAGAGCAGCGGGAAGAGAAGAAGAAGAAGAAGCATCTCGCCGTCAGGATGGAGGGCGTCTGCGCTGGCGGCGTCGCCAAGCCCGAAGTAAGGCGGGACATCCTGCCAAATGGTGTGCGGGTTCCCATGTGGCCCTTTCCTCGGGGGCGCCTCTCCACTTAACAAGATATTGTGCCTCCTCTCCAGTCCCTCTTTGGTCCATGATATAGTCGACAAGATACTGGTCCGTAGGGTTGCCGGCGTCGTCGCGTGTTGGAGGCCAGCCCACTGGAGCTTCGCGTGGAATCAAAGCGGGATCGCGGGGGTGATGGGGAACCAATTGTGAAACATGGAAAACATTGTGTCCCTCGTATGTGGGGGGGCAGAGCAAGACGGTACGCGACCGTGCCAATGCGTTCAGTCACTGTGAAGGGCCCCCGGTATCTGGGTTCAAACTTAGAACAATGGTTGAGAGCAGGTAAGTGTTTGCCACTAAGCCAGACTTGGTCGCCCACCTTATATTCCACAGCCCTGCGGCGGGCGTCAGCGTAGTATTTCTGACGCCACTTTGCCTGGAGAATGTGACTTCGTGCGCGATCGCAGAGCTGCCGGAAGAGCTTCGTCATAGGGGGAGTGAGCGTAGGGGCCAAAGCACCAACAATGTCTAGGACCGCCGCGGTTAGGGGAATCTCCCCAATCATGATTTCGAAAGGGGAAAGCTCAGTAGAGGAATGACTGGTGGTGTTATACGCTAGCTCCAAAGCTGGCAGCAGGCCTTCCCACTCCCTCTCGTCAGCCTGGATGTACGTGCGGAGCATCTGTTCTAGGGTGCGGTTAACTCGTTCAGTCTGGCCGTCCGTTTGCGGGTGGTAGGAAGAAGACATCGCCCGGGTAATATTGAAACGTGAGCACAATTGTGACCACACTTCCGATTGGAAACGAGGATCCCTGTCGGAAATGAGGACTTCGGGAAAACCGTGGTAGCGGATGAGGCGGTCAGCGAGGAGCTCTACAGTGTCGGCGGCTGAGTGGGACTTCTTGGCCGGAATAAAGTGTGCCATCTTACTGAGCGAATCGAC